CTTAAACACAAACAGTATTTAAATACACAAAGATATTCTTCAGTCTCATTGAAGGGAACTTTCTATAATGCTAAGATGTATGAAACTGGACTGAGGATAATAATTGCTAATCTCATTGATTTTATTTTTCTTTAAAATGTGACATAACTGTCAAGCTTTTTATAGGGAGCTCTTGAAATATTCTTTCAGTTTCTCTCAATTCTTTGAGTCATCCAGAATGAATTTAAAATCCAGGGAGTAGGAATGTGGATGCATTGCCTTAGTTTTAATAAGCTTTAAATTGAATATGTGCAATATGAAAATATCCAAATGTATACGTTGACTAAAGACTTGTGCTGATTATGCCAGTTAGTATTTTAGTGCTTAGTTATTATGGTTACATTTTTAAATTTGACTTTACTCTTTTTTGGCATAATTCATTAAGAATGTTACCAGCCTGAGCAGTTGCACATATTTGGGCTTCTGTTTAGATAACTTTGGGACAGTCATAAAAGTTTGGGATGTGTTGCATTTCATATCAGTAGTAGCATATTTCCAGAATATGAGCCATATGGTACAGTCCTAAATACAGTAGTGTTATCCAAAGGAAATGTTTGCTTATCCCTTAGAGTTTTTTGGCAAATACATAGCTTTTACTAATGAGTTCAGAATGATTGGGTAGGATTGTGCATGTACTAAGGTTTAATTGAGGACTTCTATTTATTCCATTTAGATAGTTCAGCTTAAGCTTGTTTTCAAGGGAAAGGTGCTCCTAAACTGTCTATGGTGCTGGTATTCACACTAGTACTTACTCAGATGAACTTCTAGGAAAAAAATTTTGAAATATTTTGCATAGCAGTCTATCCAAATATTTGGTAAACTTATATATTCTCATCCTTTGTTGATTGAATATGCAAGTATTGTATGCTAAAATAAGGTTCAGGAACAGAGTTGAATTATATCTTGAGAGAACATGAAATCACAAATTCCATATTTGGCTGTTTTGTACAGTTGTTAGTACATTTTGAGAAAGTTTAGAAAAATATCTCACGTATGGCTTCAGTTTCAAAAATGGCAAAAAAAAAAAAAAACACTGCTAGTGAGACATTACTGACATTTTCAGAGCTTTTTTTTTTTTTTGTATTAGTTTCATAATTAGACAAATTGAGTTTTAGAAAACTGGAAGTAAAATGTGGTAAGGCCTTGGATTTGATACCCAGCATCACAAAAAGATAAGTAACTAAATAAAGTGTTTAAATTGTTGTAATATTTACTTTTGAGATTCATCATCTTATCCATTGATCCTGGTATTAATATCTAAGTCCTTAAAAAGACATGCACTTGAGATACCAATAACATGATTCAGGCAGCCAAATGATGTTCTATTCCATTATGTAGTTTCTTTCCCATATGCTGATATCAGAGCAAAGAGATGTTCTTAGTTTTTCAAAGTACGTGTTCATTTTACCATAAAGTGCCCATTTTTATATGCATTTAAGAGTTATTTTTAAATAGAAAGTTCATGTTGGAAAATTATTAAAAAATATAATCGAAATATATTTTATTGTCATCTTGTTAGATTTCTTGGTTTTGTTTTACAGTATTTCTGCCATTGAAAATGGTTTAAAGTGTTTTGGGTTTTTTTAAATAATTGTTTACCTTGGTGTTTACCTTGGTGTTTACACTGTTGAGACTTATCAGTTTTTGCTAGTTTTTTTAAATAAGTTTTTTAGATCTATTTTTGTGTTAAAGTTTACCTATTTTGATTTTATTGTTTCATTTTAGAGGAAGTCTGCTTTCATTGTTAACATTGTAAAATGTCATAAAAAATGTATGAGCTCTAAAGTTAAGTAGAAATTTTAAACTATTTGTATAGTCTATTAGGTTCAGTTTAATAACTGTAAAGTTAGATGTACATGAAAACTTTTAAATGGAATATTGTGTAAAATCCTTGTAGTGTTATATTTTATGACTTTTGCCAGTTCATTTATAGACATGTTATTATTGCTTATGCTAAAATAAGATATTTGAGTATTTTAAGTACATATTGAGTTTAATATTCTATAAGATTTTCAGATACCATCTGTTCAGATGTGACTGTAAAGCAAACATAACTGATTTGATTTCAGTATATGATTGCATTTTTCACTTCAGATTTGTGGAAATGATTATTTGAGGAAATCTGTGGTAAAACTTAGTAAGAGATAAAGCTCTCAACAAGTTACGTTTGCGAAGTTAAGTGGTAATGGGATAAAGGAGCATTTATTTACCAGAGTAATAAGATAATGGGATTTGGCACAAAGGAGGAGGGCTACAATTCTGTGTTTGGGATATTGAGGTTCCATCTTGCATCTCCATATTTGCCTTTCACATTTGTCATTGTTATGGTGTAGGCTAACCTATTAAGCAACTTCAGGCTATGGTTATATGATTACTTTGCTGTGAATCATATTATTGCAAGTTGGTACCATTAATTTTTTTAACACCTAGTTTATAACATAACTTTCTCTGCTGTTTTTAGTTTAGTTCATATTAGAAGTGCATCTCACTGATTTTGAATTTTAAACTTACCAAAGTGCAACAACAAAAAATCATGGAGATGAATATTACCCTTTCCCAAAAAAAAGTGTTAATTAAACTTCCCCCAAGTGCACTAAAGAGTGGTTTAGATTCGTTTAAACTTGTCTAATTTTTTTTCCCTATCCTACTACTTTCAAAAGAGGCAATTTAGAAAGTATTTGGTAGTAATTGCTGTTGAATGCCATTTCTACTTTTATAATGTGTCTGTATGTATAAATCTTGCTTTAAATCTGAGTAACATATACTATGATCATTGAGCTAATCTTGCTTGATGTTACAAATATATTTTACAAAATTGTGCTGAGACATTTGAAAAAAAGAAAATGAAACTGCTATGGTTAAAACTAGGTTTGTTTCAAAAAAGTTTATTTAGACATTATTTGTTGTTATATTTTCTTTGAAAATTGCAATAATTTATATATTTGTATTCTGCTTTGGAACTGTATATATGCTTGTCTACTATTTTTAATTTTACAATAAAATAAATATTTTGTTATCTGCTACCTTCAGCGCATGTATTTAAGAGTGCCTATTTTTTTAAAAGTTGACTTGTAATGAGAGTTATGTTTCACGTTTAGGGAGTCTAACTTAGAATTGTCTTGCTGGAGACATAGTTCAACATTAGAGTGCTTATCTGGCATGTGCAAGGCCATGGGCTCCATCCCCAACACTGTGCCCAAAAAATAAGGCTTATGAGACTCTTACATTATTTTTTTTCTTTCTACATTGTCTTTGATACTTGATAGTCCCTGTGTCCCAAGATTTCAGAAGCAGGAAATAAAGATTCAAAGGATTCCTGTGACTTACTGGATATATGTGTAATTTTTTAAACTGGAGTGCAGGGCTAGGGGAGAAGTTCAGTGGAGAGTATTTGCCTAATAATGTGTTAGGCAAGTACAAACTGCAAAATAAATAAATTAGTGTGTGATGTTTTAAGGACATTGTTTTGAGTTTTAACAAATGTATATAGGTATTCAGTTATTACTACCTTTGCTCCCCTTTCTAATTGTTTCACTCCATCTCCGCCTATAGTTCTGATCTCTATCACCATAATTTTCCTGTGCCTGCCTTAGAATTTTAAGTGTACTTATACAGTATGTACTCTTTTGCCTCTGACTTTTTTCACTCATCTGTATGCTTTTGAAATTCATTCATGTTAGCTCAGTGTAGTGCATGTTAGATCAATAGTGCATTCCCATTTTTTGCTGACTGGTGTTCCTTTGTATGAATGTATTGAAATCAGTCTGTTTATCCTCTCTCCACTCTGAAGTTCATGGATGTGTTTGGGTTGTTTCCACTTTGAACTACTAAGAATAAAACTGTTAGGAATTTTTTTTAACTGGATTTTTAAAGAATATTAAAAATAGGAAAATAAAATATTTGAGATCTTCATCTATTTTTAATATTCTTTGTGTGGTATTAGCATTATGAATCTGGATATAACAAATTGCCCTTTTAATAATACTTCAAGTTATTTTTATATGATGTGTTTGTGGTAACAATTTAAAACTAGGTAAATCTTCAAAAGATCAGAGGCAGATTATGAATAAATATTTGAGAATTGAAACATTTAATAGAAAAAAATTGTAATTATTAACAGAGATTAATTATACAAATTAATAGGTTTAACTGTGGCATTTCCATATAAGCATATATCATGTTTTTTTCGTGTCTACCCTCCCTTCTACCCTCTCCTATACCCCTTTCCTAACCTAAGAGTCCCTTTGCTGCTTTCAGGTCTTTTTGATTAATTGATTGTTGTTTTGGGAAAGAAAACATGCAAAACTCGCCCTGGTTTATTTCACTTAACATGTCTTCCAATTCTATCCATTTGCATGCAAATGGCAGGATTTCATTCTTTATGATGAGTTGTACATCATTGTTTATATATATACCTTATTTTCTTTATTTGTTCATCTAATGGACAAGAAGGCTGATTGCTGATCTTGGCCACTGTGAATAGTAACACAATAAACATGGGTATATGGGTATTGCTTTTATATGCTGACTTCATTTCCTTTGGATATGTAACCAGGGAGTAGAATAACTGGATCATGTGGTAGTTATACTTTTAGTTTTTGAGGAACCCCAATACTGTTCCCCATAGTGCATGTACTAATTATCATACTCCCATTCTCACCAACAGTATATAAGCATTTTTCTCCACACCCTTATCAGCATTTGTGATTTGGGGGTTGGGGGGCAGTTCTAGTTCTCATAATAGCCATTCTAACTGTAGTAGGTTGGAATCTCAGTACAGTTTTTGACTCACATTCCCTGACAGCTAAAAATATGGAGCATTTTTTAATATATTTTTATTGACCATTTATACTTTTGAGAAGTATCTATTCAGATCATGTTTTAGTAAGCTTTTTCATTACTATGACCAAAAGACCTGACAGGAACAATTAGAGGAGAAAAGTTTATTAAGGGCTCATAGTTTCAGAGATCTCAGTCCCTAGAGGGCCAACTCCACTGCTCTGGGACAGATCAAAGCAGAAGGGCATGGGGGATGAAAGCAGCTCAGGACATGGCCACCAAGAAACAGCTCTGCTCACCATAGACAAAATATAAACCCCAAAGGGATGCCCCCAGTGATCCACCTCCAGACACACTGTGCCTGCCCAAAAGTTCCTATCCAGTTAATCATTACCTATGCCAATCAAGTGTTTCCCCTATGTTTTCTTGCTAGAAGAATCTTAACCCTGGAAAATCTCTTCAAACTTTTAAGTCGTAGTACTTTGTTTTTCAGGAAATGGAGGCCAAGAGTCTGGTTTGAAAAAAAAATGTTGATAGCAGACCACAAAGTTCTCCTGTTTAGCAATAACTACTCTGTGACATTAAAGGAAATTCAGCTAGACTTTTCTAAGCTTGGATTCACTAAATTTTGTTCCTGCTCAGTTGCTCAGCCTTCTAGAAATTTTTAAAACTGTTAAAATAGTTTGTTTTTTTCATTTGTTTAATGTCACAATAGAACTCAGATTTTTTTTGTAGGTATCTTAGAGGTTGACAAGCAAGTGTAAGTTTGAATAAAATAGGAGGGGGCAGCTATAGACAGAAAAAAATGCCCTTTTATATAATTTACTGATATTGGTTTTTAAAAAGCATTTTAAGGGGGTTTATTTTTGGAGTCTGATCTAAATGATGTGTTAAGTTCCTTCTAACTTGAAAATTGCTTATGACCTGCAGGTTTACATCAGTGGATTTTCTTTCTTAATTAATAATAATAATAATCATCATTCCTCCACATATGAATCCCATCCCATAGTTTGGATGGCACAATCCACCAAACCACCTCTAGAAGCAAAAATTTGCTATCCCAACCTCCTTTGCATATGGGACATCATTCTCTGTCTAGTGAAGAGGGAAAGAAAAAAAAAACTGGATAAGCAGGAGTCCATGTTGAAAGCATCAGTTCTAATTATCAATAGGGCACAATAGCCACTATCCACATTCAGTGAGGCCATAGGTGAGCTGGCATCTGGTGTTGAATAGTAGCCATTGCTATGTGTATATTTGACTATGAACCTAACTGATTAGGTGCCATTGTTCCTGTGGTTTCCCAGCTTTCTGATTGGTTTTTGTCCATTGATTACATTTCTTTTCAGCCTAAATCAACTAGTTGGCTTTCTCTAGCTTACAATCAAGAGTTCTATTCTATATCTAGTACACTCCTACCTCGGAGATCTTAGGAAACTGGTTTGTAGAACTGTACTACTGAGAGCCACTGGATATCTAAACTCCTTCAGGGCCTCATGACTGCCTATTGGATCAGCTGAAACTTTTTGTGAAGAAAAATTAAACCTCTTGGTAATGGCAGATGTTAAGTTTGGTTGTTGAGTATTCTGTGTTCACAGGAGATGTGTCTTAGAGAAACCCCACTGTCTGCCACTAATAACTAAAATTGCTCAGTTTCTATCTACAAGGATCTTGGAAGGAGTGGTCTAATAGAACAGTGATGATCATGCAGGGGTCGGCCTGGGTTTTTGGTAATACCAAGCCTTCCAGTAACCATCTATTGAATGAATGAGTGAATGACAGATTTCATAGATAGTACGGGGGCTGCCTGTCCTCTAAATCAGTAGCTCCCCAACCCCAATCCCCCAAAATGTCTGAGCCCCCTTTCAGTAAGTGGTTAACTACTACATATTCTCTGCACGTACCTCACTCTATTTCACCTTCCAGACTTTATAGCTTTTGATAGCTGTTTTCATTTCTCCTCTAAACCAGTGATTCCCTAAATTTTGTGTTTCATCAAATATGCACATTAATGGGCCTCACCTCCAGATTTTCTGAATCAGTAGGTCAGGAGTGAAGTCCAAGAATTTTTCCTTTAATTGGTTCCACACAGCACTTAACAAACCAGTGCTTCAAACCATCCATTGCCCTATAGTTCACTTTCCAAAAGAATGTGATACTGCTTTTCTATTCAAAGATCTTTCAAGCAAGATATTATAGCCTATGCCATCTGATCCATATTTTTTTTTCCATTTCGATTCATCAAAGCATTATGTGCCAGGCACTCCACCAAACCCTACAAATTTTGGATCCAGGGGACATAGAAGCCAATAAGATTGTTGGTCAACTAAAGGATCCCACCAAAAAATTACAAATAAAAAAAATCACTATTGAAAAATGTACATTGGATTTATCAACCAAGAATTTACTAAGAACAGTTTAAAAGATCTCTGGGAACAAAATTGGATCACAATGGATAGAAGTGTGGGTGCTGGGGCTGGGATTCAAAAGCAGAACGCTTGCCTAGCAAGTGTGAGGCACTGGGTTCAATCCTCAGCACCAAAACTAAGGAAATAAACTAAAGGCATGCCATTCATCTACAACTATGTATTTTTTTTAATTGTGGGTACAGATGATCTCTCTGGATTTGGGGTAGGATCTCTTTTAAGAAGTTTAGCCAAAGTAAAGTTCAGGCAGTCAGGATGTGGGTCCAAGTTTTTTGTTTGTTTGTTTTTTTAAGTTGGAAAGTACTTAAGCATGAGTAAATACTAAGATGACAGATATAGCAGAAAGGCTAAAGATGAAGAGGTCGCAATAGTTAAAAAGAATCAAGACCTGAAGAGCCAGAGTTGGACATCCCCCCTAGAATGACTTGTCTTTGAATGAGGTTTAGGATCACCTCAGGCTTGACATTGAGAAGAAGGTAAAACTGCAGATGAGTGTATTTGAAGGAAATTCATTGGAGAGAAGGTTGAGAAAATCCTTACTTGATTGCCTTTATTTTCTGTGGCAGAAAAGGAAGAGCTAATGGAGTCAGAGGCTCAGGGAAATGGTGAAGGGCTTCACAGTTTCTTCCGGAGTAGTGAGAGGAGCCCAGATTACCACAGGAAATTTGCTGGACTGTTCAGAAAAGGTGGGAACTAAGGTCTATGAATCACCAATGGATGAAGTTCTCTAAATTTGCGTTCATATTTTGTTGTATATTTTTAATTGGAGTAAACTAAACTGAGACTCAGATAAATGTGTGGCTCGAGAATATCCACAGAAACCCTACTCAATAGATGAAATTGCAAGTGCTGGAAAAATGAGAAATTTGAAGAGCTAGTATAAATGGTGTGTGGAGAAAAATCAGAATTCTGTAGCTTTAACTTAATTCATTTCAAGTAATAATTTCATTTGCCCGCTATAGAGACAAAAGTGAACTAAGACTGTTTCAAAGGCCAAGCCCTTATAGGTCAGTTAAGTATCAAGATTTACCAAATAAAATTCTGGAAAAACTTGACCTAAATTGGAGAAGATTGTAAGATTATAGGTCAGCATACAGAATGTGGATGAAAGCCAAGACACAGCCAACCTCAGAGTTTCAGATCTATAACTTCAAAGCAAAGAAAAGGCAATGTAAAAGGAGGCATGCCATTTTAGGGGAAAAGAGCAATTGAATTGAAAAGTAAGGAAGGCAGAAAAGGAAGTTCTAATGAGCAAGGGGATTGCCAGCCTCACACTCAGGAAGTTCAGTTCTAATCCTTCTCTGCCACACTGGGCACCTTTCTACCTCTTTTCCCTTCTGTGCTCTCATCTGCTGAAAATGGAAGTGAACTTGATCCTTAGGGGAACTTCCGGCAATCACATTCTACAGATAATATGAATGTTAAGAAATTTGCAGTGGAAAATCACCCCAGCACCTGCAGAAACAGCAGTACTGAGCCACTAAGGCACAAAGGAAGTGTGGTTTCCTTGAAGAAGCTTGTTACAGCAAGATCTTTCTATTATCAGCTATAGCAAAAAAGACAGCTGGGTCAACCTAGTACATAAGCTACACAATTCTCCACATACTATTTTTGAACATGTAGGTTGCAGAAAGGGAAGAAAAAGCACTATAAAAGTTTTGACAACTTGTTATTCTTCTACATTCTTATATCAGGGGAAACTATTTGGAGTGATGCTCTCTCAGGACTAACAGTGGCATGGATGGTTCTGACACACCATCAGAAGATGGGTCCCCAAGAACCCAATTCCTAATGGCTGGTTCAGTGACATTTCCACCTGTGCACGGAAAATGAGAAGTGTGAAGGTGGTGTGGTAACTGTTTACTAGAACATACTTTATTTAATCAACAGAGTTTTCCTTTATTCTGAGATTACATCTTTCCTATTATAGGGAAGATGACAATGGATGATAGGTCTTCATATTTTTTTATTTGGTTTATTATTTGGTGTTTTAGATTTTTAAAAAATTTTAAGTCCTTGGTCAAATTAAAAGCACGATCCTATGTGTCAGGAATTTTCAAAGAAACAGACTATATATGTGTGTGTGTGTGTGTGTGTGTGTGTGTGTTTGTATACATACTCACACACCATATACATATATACATATATATATCAAGAAAGAGAGGTTCATATGGCAAGTCTCAAATCTGCAGGCAAGATGGAGATTCTAGCAAGCATTAATGTTGCAATACTGAGTCCAAAACAGAGTTTGGAGGCAGAATTCCTTCCTGCTTAGGGACCTCAGTTTTCTTCTCTTGAGGTCTTCAACCAACTAGATGAGGCTCACATATATTGTGGAGGGAAATCTGCTTTACTAAGTCTACTGACTTAAATGTTAATCATGTCTTTTAAAAATACTTCCATGCACATCTAGACTGGTGTTTGACCAAACAGGCAGCACCACAGCATAGTCCACGTGACACATAAAATTGACCATGACGGTGAGTCTCTCCTTTCAACTTTAATACTTCATGAATTTGACAAGTCTGTAAACCACAGATCTGGCATTATTTATTTTAGACAGCTGTCTCTAAGCAGCACTCCCCACACCCTCCAGCAGACTTTATAATCTTTAAAGAAGGAAATGTATTCAACAGACTCATAGTACCCTGGATTTTTTTATATATTCTAACAGGGCTTCTTGTTATTTTTTAACAGTTCTTCATTAACAAAGACAAATAAAACATTTATCTGATTTTTTTCTCATGTTCAATACTAAATTAATTTGAAGTCTAGTTTTATATAAAAAGTAATGAATATACTGCTCTAAATAGATTCAATACCAAAAATTTTTAGGTAAATTATCAAAGGTTGTTCACACTGAATGTTTGCCATGTTCATCTCTTACTCCTCCTTATCTCCACCGCACAAAGGACATACATAAGAGAGTTAGTCTGTGTCAGAAAGATACTATTCATCACCACCACCAGCTCAAAGCACGCATTCCCTTGAAACAAATGTACGTAGTCTGTGATGTTAGAAGAGCTCCAAAACTCTCCAAGTCTCACTGGGTAAACAACTAAGCTGCTGGCAGTCTTACTGTGGG